GGGGGGGGGGGCGCAGTTTTATCTGACTTTCATCTCAAGGAAGTCTAATCAACTCACCAGGGAGGGAGTGGGGGGTGGGGGGGTAGGGAGGGGGGGTGAGGCTGAAGGAGGCTGAACCTATGTGTATGAGTCAATGAAAGTCAGATAAAACTGCCTCCCCCCCCCCCCCTCTTGGTTTTGCCATTTTCCCTGTTTGGGGCAGAACGGCTCATATGCCCCCCCTTAACTAATCCAATACCCCTTCCGGTCGCTTTCGCATTGTTTTTCTCTGCAGCTGCAGGGAGTCAAGTTCTAGTCTCGTCTGGCAATGTTTTTGGCGAGGAGGTACAGGATAGCATAGCGAAATCGGTGACCAAAGCGTCATCAACAGGGGTGAGTCGTGTATGCATGAGACACCAACAGGGGTGAGCCGTGTTGTATGAACCTTTCTTAATGGTAAAGTTGGCAAACACATGGGTGTACTAATCAAGGAGTCGAGTGCTCAAAATTCGGACCCTCTTTTCTTTTGATACAGAAATGTTTTGGATTGTACCACTGGGCTTTTTGCTCGGTTGTTACTACACCCACAAACTGTTGTTGAAATGCAGACCTGAGTTCGAATCCAGATGATGGAACCAGATCAACAAAATTGAAAATTGAAATTTCTGAATTACCTGCGGCCGGTCAGTTTCATGATGATATCTCAAGCCTGTCGGTGTTTTTGTAAAAAAGGGGACTTAAGGGAGGACTGATCAGATGTCTGCTCTGAGACCATAACACTGGTAACAGTAATGTGATGACGAGACACCAAAAGCATAGTGATCACAATCTTGAAAAGTCACAACTGCAATGTGATGACGAGACACCAAAAGCGTAGCGATCACAATCTTGAACATCATGCGATGATAACGACACCGCAAATGAGGGAGACCAGACTCCAACAAAAAAAGCAGAGCATGTCAACGCCTCCCCTTTCTGTGCATACAGTTTAGCGATATGGGAATGAAAGACAACAAAAAAAGCAGTTCGCAAAAAAAGTTGTGTGTGACATTGCACGTTGCACTAGTTGAAACTTGAAAGACACATGATGTCGCACAAGTGAGATCATTGTGAAGAATGATGGATGACATGATATGCGAATGAGGTCGTAGCTAAAATATATAAAACCTAAAAATGCACTGAGTGACTGAGTCTGTTGGGTGTTGAGTGTTGACGAAAAATCATCTATGATGACAACAGCTCTATCTCACACCTGTAACACCTTCCTCACTCCCCACACCCTTTCCCTTCGCATCCACCTGAGACACCCTTTAACACTCTTGCTTCCTCAATGCCACACATGAAGCTGGCAGCAAGCAACTTATATAGAATCCCAATTGGTTCCTGTTTTATAACTCGCATACAAACATGGTGTGCATGTTCTATCTAATGAATTCCAAGTTTTTGTCCCAAAAATGTGCTAGGTGCATTGCCCGTCTCAAGCAATGATCTCATCAAAGCCTGATATTTGAAACTCATTGAGCTACAGTACTCTTTGGGGGAGAGAGAGAGAGAGAGAGAGAGAGAGAGAGAGAGAGAGAGAGAGAGAGAGAGAGAGAGAGAGAGAGAGAGAGAGAGAGAGAGAGAGA